AAGTATCACATGAGAGATCGTATCGAAGGCTTTTGATAAGTCCACAAATATACATAAACTTAACGTATTTTTGTCTAATTTTTGGTGTATATATGAAATAAACGCACAAATTGCGTCTTTTGAGGATTTATCTACCCTAAAGCCATATTGACATTGTGAAATTAAATAGTAATTATCTAGAAGGTAGCTTTTGACAATACGCCACACGAATTTGTAAAAAGAGCACTTGCATACAGATGAGTAGATAACATCACATCCAGATGAATGACTCAACTGTTATCTACGAGAACTGCAGAGACAAAGATAGGGCAGGACACCATCTCCATCTGCACAACCAGAGGATGTCCACAAGAAGGAGTTCTATCCCCACTAATGTGGAGCCTAACCGTAGACGAACTTCTATGCAGATTGACTGACCTCGGCATACCCTGTCATATTTGCTAGTGGCTAGTTTAGTAATATCCTGTCGTGTGATATAGTCCAACGAGGACTAGTACATACCAAAAGATGGTGCCGTGAAGTGGGACTTAGTATAAACCCTACAAAAACAACACTTTTCAAGGAAAAGAAAACTTAATCTCAAAACCGTTAAATTAGACGGGATAGATATAGAATGGGAAAATGAAGTCAAATATCTAGGCCTAACCCTGGACAACAAATTTCTCTGGAACACACATGAGAAGGAAGTAGTAAATAAGGCCACAAAAGCCCTAATGGTATGCAGAAACATTGCAGGTAAACGATGGGGATGTAACCCAAACATACTGCGATGGATGTATACTGCAATAGTGAGACCAATCATGGGGCTATAACCTGGAGTAACAGAACTAGTTTAGCTACTACGAGAGCTAATATCTCAAAAGTACAAAGACTAGCCTGTGTTTGCATTACTGGTGCAATGAGAACCTGTCTTACGGCCGCAATGGAGGTGATCTTAAACCTCACCCCTCTACAATTGATGATAGAGAATGTGGCAGGAACGGAGTAATCAGACGAAAGTCTACTTGCTTCAGGACTAAAGATACCTGGATAGTCCCCAGGATGAAAGTACAGTTTTGTGAAAAACTTCAAAACTTCAAAATCACAGAGCTGGGCTGCAAGAAAGAATGGAGCCAAGAATCCATCGCGCTTGCAACCGAAAGTATTCAGTGGTATACGAACGGTTCCAAAACCATAGAAGGAACTAGAACAGGAGTTGTATGAGCCGAGTACCAAGCACTTCGAAAGCATGGGAAATTACCCAAGCATCTTCCAGGCGGAAATTCACGCGATCGAGAAGTGTATTCAATTCAACATCGAGATAAATAAACCAGTGAACTTTTTATTTATATAAAATTCTTCACGTATGTTTTTTAATGTCTCAGATCTAATTTTACCATGTCCTGGTGACTTTTTAGCTTCAGTGCTATAGAGGTCACCTTACATTTTTGAATTTACCGCCATTTTTTAGTTGGCAGCGTCCACACTGACATTTGACACTTCCCTAGTCTTGTCATTTGTCATTATGATGTCAAATTGTCGATGTTAAAAGTTTCTCGTTTTTTTTTTGAAGTTTTGATTGATTTAATAAAATATGTCAACTTAAAGAAAGCTCATTGATCAGCTTTTTTATTTCAGGTCCTGTCGCAGGATGTAGATACATTGAATTACTAAGTTCATGTTTCCTGTAAAATCTTTTATTTGAGGTATTTCTGATTCTAGTATTATACAAATGTTACTAAAATATTTATTAAAATTGTTAGATAATTCTTTGATACATTTTTATTAAAACTATCCACACACTTGCTTGAAGATCTATAAAGATACATTTAGTGTTTTTTTTTTTTTTTTTTTTTTTTTTTTTATTTTTTTTTATTTTGGTGTCATCGGCGTTGACTACTACGGTCATTAGCCTCGTGTTCTGTGTAGGCTTTGTTACTGTTTCCCAGCGCCACTTTAGGAACAGCACTGTTAATTAGAACCCAACAGTGAATGGTCGAGTGGGGAATTCTACCTATGCGTTAGAATTAATATTTAATTTTGTTTTTAATTAAATAAAAATTCCTGCCACCGGTGGGATTCGATCCTGAGACCTTCCGATCTCAGAGTCATGACTCTAACCACTGAGCCAACCCACCCCCCTTTAGTGTTTTTATGTCAAATAATCTTACGATCTCATAATTATGTTCAATATTTGATTTAACTTAGGTATATAATAATACAAACCATCATTTCTGTAATTTCCATAATCGTGATTATATAGGGTGAGTCCTAAGTTGAAACTTTTTTAATTGTCCATAAATGTTAAAAAATATTTATCTTAAATATTTTTTTTTTAAAAACTTAAATATAAGAATGATACATAATTAAAAAATCTAAATCCGGGACTGAACTCAACATTTTTCAACAAAAATTCTACACATTATTTAGGTTAGACGTATTGGATACGTTTTGGAATACATTAATATAAGTTTCTTATTTTTGAGTTTTTTTGAAAAAATTATTTCAAAAAGTTATTGTAATGACTTCTAAAATATAAACTTAGGATTCACCCTGTATTTTAAAAATTTTGTTTTGAAAATATTGTTTCTGTATAAAAGTATTGTTTTTGTATAAAAATATTGTTTTTCACTTTCCTATCTGTATACAGATATAAGGAAAGTATAGGAATCATAATTTTTTTCGACGGATTTTTACGTTTTGAGGTCCCCTGAATCCGTTTTGACTATTTTCGCGATGATGTCTCTGTGTGTGTGTGTGTGTCTGTATGTGTGTGTGTCTGTATCCACCATAACTCATGAACTGATACAAAGAAAAACACGAAATTTTAAACATAAGGTAGTTCACTCGCGACAGTCGTACATAAAAATATCGCGTAATGGTGAATACCAAAAGTTTGAGATTCTCAATGCTAATAAATTTTATTTTTGTATGAGACTGTACAAAACACATGTATATAAACACATATGGACAAGTTATAATTTTATTCAATTTCATCTGGCAAACTCGCAAATATTTAAACGATATGGTATAGAAATTTGTGACTTCCTCATACTAATTTTAAGGGTTTGTTTTGGTTCAAACAGAACCGCTGATTCCAGTTCTCAAACACAGTGGACGAATTAATTTTTCAAGAACACGTCGCGAGTTTATAACAACGTCTTAGCTGATCGAGTGTTACTTTGATACATGAGGTGGCTACAATGTTGCCAAGTTGTAATAATTTTACGAAACTACTCGTCAACTGCTTTAGAAATATTTTTATTTTAAAAATCTATATCTTTTTACTAAGATAGTCAAAAAATTCAGCGATTATCTATAAAATTTGATAACTTCTTGATTTATTTAACATTAGTTTTTAAGAAATATGGTAAGAACCGTTTTCGAGATATCTTGAAATAAATGCATTGCTTGTGTACATGATAGGCTTCAAGAGTGTTAATTATGCACATTTTGATTGTTAATATCTCGTTTCACAGATGGTCAAAAAATCTAATTTTTTTTAGTTACGTAAACGACACTTTCATAAACCTTATATTTAAATTTTATTGAATTCTTAAGAAAAGCCGTTTTACGAGTGAACTACCTTAAGCTTTATTCCGGCGTCCAATGAATTGATTGATTTTGGGCAGAGTCGGGGGTACTTTATAGGTGGTCATTTTTATATTTGATGGAATATATCTGTTATTTACGTTTGGAAAATTCTTCAAATAAAAGTTACTTCTAATATTATTATCTATAATTTTTATTTTATACATAATTTCTCTAAAATGGACCGTATTCGAGATATTTGAGAAAATGTGTAAATTTCGAATTTTGAAGAAAACTCAAAAACGGATAAAGAAAAAAACATTAAATTTTAAACTTGTTTTAATTAGGCCTGGCGTGAAATGATTAGATTTTGGACAAAGTCGGAACATCTGGGGGGTACTTTATGGGAGGCCCTTTTTAAATTGTATGGAATATATCTGTTATATATGTTTGGAGAAGAAAATTGTTCAAATAAAAGTTACTTCTAATATTATTATCTATAATTTTTGTTTTATGTCAAAATTTCCTGAAATGGTCCGTATTCGAGATATTTGACAAAATGTGCAAAATTCTGATTTTTATGAAAATTGTTGAACAATAAGTTGTTTGCGATATCAAGCTCTATAATTTTTGTTTATACATAATTTTTCTATAATGAACCGTAATGGAGAAATTGTAGGAAAAGTGCTAAATTTAAATTATTCAGTATTTTTGTTTTCAATGAAAAATGGAAAAATGTTTCGAGGTAGATGTATGTGGAAAATGTATATATTTATAGAGGTCCTGCAATAGGTTGTACAAAATAACCGGAAAATGCCTATAATAACTAGATAGGAAAGTCATGTGTTGGACACATCAGATTTTTTATTATTTCTTAACGAGAGACAGGCCAGATATGTTAAAATTGGATAGTTTATTACTTAAATTCAAAATTTAATCTAATAGATTTTTCTCTATGTAACTTTATCTTGTAATGAATATATTTATTATTAATCTTAAACATTATTCTTAAATGCGACGTTCCACTGACATTTTAAGGAGCGGTTAAAAATAAAATTGTCTTGTAAATTTTAAAGAATGTTCTACATTTTAGAATATACCCCAAGATCCAGAAACACACATTGAATATATTTAACCGTAATATGACATTCATAATAGTTAATAACCTTAGTTTAATTTGAACATAAATAAATAACTAGAAGTAGCAGCATTTAATGATTCCTCGTAGGTATATAAAAATTAAATACTGACAGTAGCAACTTTCGAGAAATTACACAAACGCTAATTAACCAAAGACGAATGATAATTATTATTAGCCATAATTTTTTCGTTTAAAAAGAAACACGCAACGCATATATCATATAAATTTAACTAACTTTAAACGATCTTCGCTATACCTCCATATAACCTGTCCAACTTAACAAAGTCATGCAATAAAATTAATTTATTATTTAATAATATTAATAATAAAAATAAATAATGATGCTCACCTGGACATTCTTTGGTGATTATACAATTGTTTCCGAGAAGAAGAACGTCTTTGAGGTGCATAGATCTTCTCGCCAAGCCCAGGAGGAGGTGTTCTCCGGCGTGAGCTCTCAAGAGGGCCACCTAAAAAAAATATATATTTTTTTTAATTTGATTAAAAATATAATTGGGAATTCACGACTGCGATACCTCTACAAACCATTAAAATCACCCAATATTATACAGGGTGTTATTGAAATACACGTACATATTAAAACTGGGTATTGCGCAGATCCCCACTGAATGTAGAAAAATATTATTTTTAAAAATACCCCTTATTAAGGGAGTTATTAATTTTTGAAAATTAATTCTAAAACAAACGTACTTCACTGATATGTTGAGGATGACCTATATAAATTAGGTTTATTTACCTATTTTAAACATCAACAGTAATTAATATGCAAGTTTTTGTCAGATGATAAGAAAACTAGTCTTGTAAGAAATAACCATGTTGCTAAGATTTTCGAATTAATTTCTATTTCCGAAGACTGGTTTTTACAACCCTCGTTATCAAAAAACTAGAATATTTGATACTATAGAATTTTGAAACTATAGATTATTAAAATTTTAGTTGATTTACGAATCTGGCTAACACGAGCGCGTCATTTCCAAGTTGGTAAAAAGTGTTGTTACGATTACTTTTAAATATTTTTTTACGATGCCACTATTTACGAATATTGAACTAACGGATATAGTGCTGGTTTATGGGGCAGCTGGAGAAAATTCTCGGCAAGCACAAATCCTGTATCGCGAACGGTTTCCAAATCGGAGAATTCCGGACTGTCGTACGTTTATTTCAACTGTTCAGCATCTAAGAGACCATGGAAAATTTGAGAGTGTCAATGCAGATCGAGGGAGAACAAGAACACAAAGAACATTGGCGGCCGAAGAAGAAATATTGGAAGCTGTTGAAAACCGGCCTCAATTAAGTTGTAGGTCTTGAAATTGGAGTGTCCTCATTTGTTGTGTGGCGGACACTTAAAGAACAAGGTTTATATCCTTATCACATCCAAAAAGTCCAGGCCTTATATCCAGGTGATGAAGAAAAGAGAGTGAAGTTTTGTGAATGGATGATTCAAAAATGTGTTGATATTCCTGATTTTCTAAAAATATTATTGTATACTGACGAGGCTTCATTCACTCGTGATGGCGTGTTCAATATGCACAATACGCATATTTGGAGTGATGAAAATCCTCACGCCATTAGGGAAACTGGACATCAAAGAAAATTTTCAATAAATGTTTGGGCTGGCATAATAGATCAGTATTTAATCGGGCCTTATGTTCTCCCGAACAGATTAAATGGGCCAGGATATCTCCACTTTTTAGAAGATATTTTGCCAGTACTCCTAGAAGAGATACCGTTACAATTAAGGCAACGGATGTGGTACCTACTAGATGGCGCTCCTCCTCACTTTGATTTAAACGTACGGCAGTTTTTGAACATTAGATTTCCTCAAAAGTGGATAGGCGGAAATGGACCTACTAAGTGGCCTCCGAGATCTCCGGACTTAAATCCATGCGATTTCTTTTTGTGGGGTCACATGAAACAACTGGTTTATAATGAACCTATTAATAGTGTTGAACAATTAACCAATAAAGTTAATGCGGTAGCCGAGGAACTACGACAAAATCCAAGACTAATTTCTAATGTTCAAAGTTCTTTGGAAAGACGATTGCAAGTGTGTGTAAATAATAATGGACGGCATTTTGAACAGTTACTGTAATAAACTTTATTTTGAATTAATTGGTTTTGCTACGGCAACAGTGCAATTTCTATGGGTAAGTTCAATTTCGATTTATTTTACTTCTTTAAATATGGAAACTAGTAGGTCGGAAAAGGGGACTCTTCCCCAATATTTAAATTTTAGAATTTGAAGTTAAAATTGGTGCCAATCGTTTTTGGTCATTACATACTATTCCCCATTTTAATATGTACGTGTATTTCAATAACACCCTGTATACAATATATTAAATTTTCAATCCTAACTCCAGGAAAACGGTATAGAAATACAACGCTATTGAATAGAGAGAAATATGCTTGTCAACGAAAGAGCGTGGTTAAACTAATTGTTCTCTTTATCGCCCTCACGTCCAAATAAAATTAAGCGTCTGATCTTTATTTTGCCTGATGCGTCGGTTAACGTACTGTAAATTAGGTTTGTCCCAAATTTGATCCAATAAATAAAAGAGATATTAACGTGGCTCTGACATCATTGTCACCCAGTATATTATTAAATAGAATCAATTTTACATACAGCATTTAAAAGCACCTTAATTGATAACTTCTTTTTTAAATACATACACGGGGTTTATTATTCGTATTTTTTGTGTGTTATTATTATTATTATTATTATTATTACTGGTAGGTATATTTTATGTAATAAAACAAGTTAAAAATATAAGGAAGTAATTAAAAATCAATTAAAGAAAAACGAAATTCTTATAATTATTGTCGTTTTAATTTTAATAACTGATTCGACAACCAGCAACGACGAATACTTATAATGTAGGTACCTACTAATTATTTTTATTTAATAATAACGTTGGTGGTACTATACCTGATCGTCTAATTGTAAATCCGTGAAGGCAGGGATGTACTTGGCCCATTCGACCAAAATCAATAATTGTTGTTTCATTGACTCGCATACGTCATTTATACTGGCCAGTTGTCTGTTTGAAATGTCGTAATCGTTTACTGGATTTGGACCCATTTGCTGTAAATACAAAATTAAAAAAATGCTAATCATTATAAAAAAAAAAGTTATTTTATTGTACACCAACCTCTAAGGCTGCTCCAACTTGTCTGGATAACATTTCAGCATTCAACAACGATCCTACTGATAGACCGTTATTTTGATTGTTTTCTTCGTAGCTGGGCCTCCTACAGCTTATCCTGTCACGTTCATTTTGCACAGCTAATAAATTAAAAATATATATATCAACGGTTTTCAAATTTAATAATATATTGATAATGATTATGTGCAACAACAATCCATGACTTTTTATTTAGGTACTAATTTTTCTTTCAAAATAAGGCGATTTTTGTATTTTGCTTTTAAATAAAAGAGAAATGAATGTTTGAGACCTAGCGATATACATCATGGAGCTAGGATAGATAGAGGTAGCATCAAAGAGAGAGAAAGAAGTCCCAAACATAACATAAATATTTACATTAGGACTAACAACAATTAACCGAGGACAGTACTGCAATAGTAGTTTACCATACAAGTCCGTTACCTAGATCTTTACATGCGAGCACGGTCTTTAACGTACGAGCGCTAGCTAGCACGTTATGGGCATGTACGGGCATGTTACTGCAATTTGCTACGTTTTACAACCTAAAATAATTTATACTTGTTAAATAAAATTTTATCATTTGGGATCATCATTACAAGTTTCCGAATAAGACTTAAAATAATGCTGTTCAATAGCAAGTAATGACAAGTAAATCTCTGTGAATTAGAATTTGTTACTACCTTATCTAAACCTTGGTTTAAATATAATTTGTTAATGGTTAGTGATTTTCTAAATTTTTATCACTAATCTGAAGTCAAATATAGTAAGTTTTAAATATAGTAGTGCCCAAGGTAATTCGAGTTATTTAATAACCTGACCCACTCCCAAAATTAATTGAGCTTAAAACAATATAACAAATAGATAAAATATCAAGTATCATGTTACAAAAATGACGCCTAAATCCGGAGCCCAGAGAATGATCGCTAAACTCGGTCATTCCGGATCAAAATGGCGTTGTTGTTAACTCTATTAACAGTAGGTTAACCATACCTCATATCTTTAGTTAGTCTTTATCAATTAAAAAACAGAAAAGTTAACAGTCAGTTATATCCTGCCTCTGTCTATCGCATACTAGCTCCACCTACTTAGATATTATGAAAGGGATCGCTATGTCATAATTAACTTTGACATAACCTTCAATATCTCGCAGATTTGCTCCTTAAACATTTTAAACACGCAAGTAAACTTACCCTCTTTTTTCATTCCAGCCTTAAAACATTTACGTAATCGACAATAACGACATTGGTTTCTTTTGTCTTTATCTACTACACAGTTTCGGTTAAATCTGTAAGAAAGAGTAAATAAATAAATAACAATAAAAATGCTAATAAATTTATCAAAGGTAATACCACTAGTCCTCCAAATTTAATGGATAAAATTTTAAGAACGAATGGTATTTAAAAAGATTATTTTTTGAATCATTCTGTATAAAAAAGTCACAATAAACATATTGGGAGTAGATAATAATCTAACAGCTTCTACCCTAATAACACTGATCTGCCAGGAACATTCCATTTAGGTTCTATGTATGTTTCTGTTTCTGGCATAACTGGTAATGTTTCTAAAGAAAAGTTTCTGGAATGATTTTAGAAACATCGTAATTTTGTATAGGTATTCTATTTTAAATATTATTTTGAAATATCAATAAATTATAAAATTCTACATTTTGAACAATAATAGGTCTGTATACAATTTTTGGGTAGAGCGCACGATTTTCGTGCGTGTTGGAATAAACCTAATATTTTTATTTTAGAAGATAACGGCTGAAGGTAAAATTTATCTTTATTAGTTACTTCAAAAAATAGTGCAAGTACGACAAAGATGAATACACCGTTCCTTCTGCCTCACAAGGCAGACAGAAGCTCTCGTGATAGAATCTATTTGCATTAAAAGTGTAGCACTGAGCTACACTACTTATGAAAATATCGTTCCATTTATACAAATTGTATAGTTGGAACGATATTTTCGATAAAAAGGAATAGACCTCATATTTGATTAACCGAACTCGCCTACCGTATAATAGTGATAATACACAGCCGGATTGTTTTGTATAGTTTGTAGTTACATAGCTACTTGTAGAATCACTTCCAATTCGAAGTTTGATCGCGCTTGGAAAATGCAGACACAATACTTTTACGTTCAAGATATTTAAGTCAAATTTCGGTTGTAATATGGCAAGGGGAGTATTCCCAAAATGAAGAAAATAACTTTTAATTTAATTTAACAAAATGTGGCTTTTATACATTCTAGTCATTATTTCTTTATTTGTTAACTTTAAAAATAACTATTTTAGGTATTGTATTTTGCAAACCAAGGTGGCAATATTGTGTATGAATTTATCAGAAGATGCATAGGGAATGAGTTGTGTAAGTTATTTTCATTCACTGGAAAAAAGGAAGTTCCCCTGGTTAAAAATAGCTAAAGCCATTATGGGTAATTATTTTAACTTAATACAAAATGTTTATATTATCATTTAATTGAAACATTATTATCAGATTCGGTTCACAAAATTGGTAAACAAAGAAGAAATGCAAATTAAAATAGGTGACTGGTTGTGGAGGGCTCCGGGAAAGAAATAGACGCAATGAATCAGAGCGTAATAATTAACATTTTTTATTTTTGTGTCAAAATATATATATATATATATATATATATATATATATATATATATATATTTTTTTTTTTCAAATAAACTTATGCAAAAAGTAATAGATTTGATTATCCTAATAAAAAAAAAGTTTTTGGAACGTTATGGTAATAGTATAAAAAAACATGACAAGTGTTCATTAAACATAAATATGTGTTTCCTTTTGTCTAAAAATAAGATGGATACCGGTCATGCGCAAAACCGCGACGACATAAAGTAAGTAGATTATCTTTTCTTATGGAAGTTTGACATTTGCCAAATTTTAAAGTATTTATTGTAATTTCGGTGTCTTAAACCATAAAATTGAATAAGATATGCTTAATGAGCTAATTTAGAACTGTTTAGGTATTTAAAAATTATGTTTAACTGACAAAAGTTGAGTGTAAGCGAGTTAGTTTTATGTGTATTAAAGTGATTTAACATAATATATAAACAGGAACAAAAATATTACCGATTTTAATTTTGTGCAGTAAAATTAACAATTATTTTGAAATTTTGGTATTAACATAGATTTGAAATTAAAAGGTTAACAAAGTTTTGTAAAAAAAAAAAAATAAAAATGAAAAGATGTTTAATCAGCATAAAACTCAATGATTGGTTAGGATCGAGAACTCTTATCACAAAATTTTACTATTTTGACAGCTAAAAAAAATATTCAAGGAAAAACTCTATAAATGAAAATTTGGTCAAAGATTATATATTTCCAATTAAAAAACTGCTTGCATTCATTTTATAAATTTATTTTTCTAATTTTTTAAAATAAAATAAGCTCTTTTGTAATCGTAGCAAGTGTCAAAATTATCTACTTTATGTAAATAGTTTCATAGTTACAACGTTCATTTTCGTCCCTCAAAAATTAACTCTTTTGACAAAATAGGATTGGTTACATAGGTACATATCTATTAAAATTATGTTGGATTTTTTTATTATAGCACCTTGTATATTATAAAACGATACATTATAATTAAAATGTTTATTCCTATTCTATAATTTCATTGTTTTTCAATCGATGATTCATTATTATTTAGTTTTAGTTTGAATTAACTATTACGTGGTTAATTTTTTTTTTATTTATTCCTGGAGAAATTATTACCTTAAAAAAATGCACTACAAAATAATGATCATGGAAATAATAGTTTTCACTGTAAAAGCCGTCATTATGACTATTTTACTTTTGCATAAAAAGAAATTCTATTTAATAGAACAAGGTCAAACTTTTTTGTTAAATGAACAGTACCAAGAAATAATCGTTTTCAAAAGACAATAATTATTGAAAACATTTAGTTATTACAGCAGAATTTTTCTGGATATGAAAAGTTAAATAAAATTATTTAAAACAAAATATTAGCGAATTATACAGGGTGTCCGAATGATATTCAATCAACAAAGCTTGACAGATGCTGATACCTAGCATCTGCAAATTAATGAACACCTAAATCCTTGAAGTACTTAATTTTCGAGATACAGATAGTTAAAGAGCATACTGCTAAATTCCACATTAAATTTCCTTTGAAATAAGATATCACATGAACCCCAATAATTACATCATCATCATCATCTATTGAGGAGCTCCAGAAGTATGTAACACATGAGACATGTAAAGTTAGGAGAATTAGTATGTATGCCAGAACAATTTATTATTTTTTAAAGTTGCCTATAATGAAGAAATCACTGTAATCCAAAATTTTCCTTTTTTATATTAAAAATCATTATATTCGGCAGTTACTGCTCAATTACCATACGAATAATTAATTCCTTTACGTACCTATTATTTAATTAATTAATTTGTCAAAAACGTTAATTAGATGAATTTTTCACCAATTTGGTTTATTTAAAAATAGTAAAAATTTAAAATGACACGAAATTTTGTGGAAATACATAAAACAATTAGAAATTTAATCTAATTGAGGCTAAAGTAGGGTTATATAGAACGTTTTGCTCACCGACACGTGTAGAGATGATTTTTCCTGACGGATCTCCTGAAGAACCCCTTGCAACCGTCACACGATGCGGCTCCATAATGTTTTCCTGTGGCTCTGTCCCCACAAATGGCACATTGTTGACTGATGGCGTTCACGCCTCCACTGACGTTGCTCAACGTCGCTGTCAGGGAGTTGTTGCATGCCGCCATTGTCATGTCTGAGTCCACTGAAACAATAAACAGGAAATTAGGAAAAAAAATTAAATATATCATATAATACTGGTGAAAAGGTTATATTTATGTTGTTTACATCTTTTTAATTTGAATCTGTTACATGTCATTTGTATAACATAATCCGACAGAGACTATGAAAAAGATATTTGTCTTTAAATACAAATTTTCTCATCTACAGTATGCTTGGGTTCTTGAGATATTGAACTCCTCAAATAAAAAATAACCTAACCTCAATATTGACTGATTGAGTCAAATGTCTGTTGAAAATTGATTAATAGTAGGTACTTTAATAATATGCTCATAAGGTATAAATCGGCGGATCCAGACCAGATGTTTGGGAGGGGAACTTTTCTGAATTAGATAGATAATAGTCTTTCTTTCAATTTGTTGCCTCCATAATTAATGAGTTCGATGTTAATTCCATCTTTTCCTGGTGATCTTCTATTTGCATTTTTCTCAATGACCTTTTGTATCTCTTCTCTTGTTGGATCACCAATTATGTCCCTTTTCTATTTCCTTTATCATCTCTGATTCTTCTATCTCCGCATGTACTCTATTTATACCTACTTGTATTCTTCATTTTCATCTTCCAGTATCACTTCTCCTTTTTTATTTTTTATTTCCTTAGTTTTGTTTTTGTAGTTTTTGTTCTGTTCTTTAATTTTCTTTTAAAGTCTTTTGTATTTTTCTTACTTTCTTCTTGTTCAATTATTTTTATTTTATTGTCTATCCACCTTTTACTTTTTCTTTTGGTTTGTTTTCTCACTTCTTCATAGGCCATTTTATCTTCTATTTTATTTGTTCTTAGCCATTTGATACTTGCGTGTACCCTTTTTTGTTGTTGCTTTACAACATTTTTCATTGTACCATTCTTTTCTTACTTTTTCTGTGCAACTCCAATATTTTCTTCTGTTGCTAATTCTATGCTTTCTCTGATGACTTTCCATTCTGCTTCTATTTCATTTTCTTCATGTTTATTGCTTAATATTGATTTTTCCTACGACCACTTAGGAAAGTGACACATATCACACTATATAGACTATGGAAATGGCCTTATATCACACGCGTGTGAATAAGAATTTACTTTTCACCCGTGTGCGAATATGCTACTTTCCGCATCAGCTGTCAAAATGTAAAACGCATCATTTCTATTTTAATCTATGTAATGTCCATATTAATACTAAAATCGATATGATTGTTAAATTATTGACATTGTTGTAAATTAGATCCTAGATATTTATCTTTAACAATTATTATTAAAATAATTTTAAAATAATTTTCTGGTTAAACACATAACCGATTAGATCATTTTATTGACGCCAGGCCTATTAGCTCAGGTGGTAGAGTATCAAACTTTATTAACTTTGCCATTTGAGACCTGGCGAGCGACCGCGTTCAAATCCTTGCGGGGGCAGAAGTTTTTTTTGTTTTTTTTTATTTTGTTTTTGTTTAGAAAATATGAAAATTAAATAAATACGATTATTGTTGATTATTTTTTTAAGTACATTTTAATTATTATAATAATAGACTGGTTTTACATTTTTTGATGAAATTATTTTGTGGTCGTAGGAAAAATATTGTACATCACTTGTATGAAAAGTGATTTCCCATACTCGTAATGTAATATACTATTACTTTTTCTGCATATTTATTTTTTACTGTTTCCCGATTTGAGACACATGGGATATCTACAGGCCAATGTATTGCAAGTATTGTCCAAAACATATAGCTAGTTTGAGGTTAGGAGTACATAGCATGTCCCAAAGAATATATTTTTCAAAATGTTTGTACTTTCTCTAGAAGGATAAGGCATCAGTCCACATGGTTCATTTACTTCTGAAAAGTCATTAACTTTTTAAGGGAATATGGCATTACGTCTATGGTTACTTTTACTTCCAAATACATAATTATATGACTAGCAGTTTATTATTAGCTATCTTGTTTATTATTTGAGGTAGAACATTGCTCTGTAAATACAAATTTCACTAGAAATGGATATATTGTCATTTACCTTCGACATAAATAACTAGGTTTTCTATTTATTTAGTTTTTTAACATTTGAAATGTTTTTCCAACGATTATCTTTTGATTCTTGAACATATTTACTTAATTCAAGTTTTGCAGTAAAAAAGGAATCTATATTGCAAACACTATGATTATTAAAATAGTTTTCCCCCCGTTGTTCCGCGCCTGCATCAAAATTAAGAATACTTATTCACAATTTCTTACGTAACAGTATGTCATCTTGTGTGATTTGTGATGTTCTGCTGCATTTCTTAATTGTTCTTTCTATTAGACGTAAGTGTTTAAACGTTCACTTAGGCATTTTAATAAATATTTGAAAAAGAAAAAAGTATTTGCGAAGCAATTAAGATGCATTCAACAAACTTTTTAACAAGTGTTATAACTAACAGAACTCTAGATGTGTAGAATCGTTTAAGTAAAATGATTTTCCAAGGACGCTTGATTATAATATCTTTGATTGCGCATATTTATGGGAAAAACATAATTTAATACTATTTTAAATCCTCCTAAACCGCCGTCAATAAAAAAACTTTGTAGAAATATTTTAATTTTCCAATTAAGTATTTTATGAATATCGAAAGATTTTTATATTTTATACAATACAGGATAGGGTGTCCATCTATAAATTGACACATTTTAACAACTTATAACTCGAAAACGGAAAAAGATATCGAGATGCAGTTTTCACTAGACCTTTTACATTTACTTCAAGTTTTTCTTGACATTGTTGTCACATGTAATTTTTTTCTGGAAAGTGCCGAAAAAAAAAACGAACTTTTTTGAATCAAAATTGTGAGCTTATTTTAAATAGAACACCCTATAATTTTTAACATCCTCGGAAAGACCATTTCTTTCCCTTTCCAAAAATGTATTCATTGTAAGCATTTATTCAATTTATTTGGGAAAAATTTACTTTTTTATGAAACCATGTCGATAACTTCTAAACGTAAAGTATCACAATTTAAAAGCCTTTTAACTCGATAATGTGCCAATTTATTGATAAGAGGTTTTGACTAAAATTCTGGGAAATGTTTTTTTTATAAAATGGTTGTAAAGTCTCAAATGTCTAAAATTTTCGTAAAAGATTACTTTTACCAATTCAGATTAAGGGCTTATGATGAATAAAGTTTTTCGTATTTGTAACGTTTATCCATAAATCATCATTTAAAAGAATGTCTTAAGCGTTTTCAATATGTACCTATATCTGTTTTTTTAGTCTATTTAATATTCCTCTTTTTGTAAATTAACATACTCAGCTTTGGATAGAATATGAATAAGTCAATAAATGATACTACTAATTTATCAAGGGTGCTATGTAAAACAAATCGAGTTGACAGAAGTCTATATTTGTATTAATTAGTGCAAGAGAAAGCAGGTATTAAAAAATGTTTACTAAAAGTGAAAAAGCCCGGTGCGTGTAAAATATTGAAAGTAGATCAATTACACATACACAAAGAAGATTTAGAAATATGTTTGAAAAAAATTCGTCAACCAGAAATTCTATTTTAAACTGGCTACGTCAGTTTAAAGAAACGGGAACATTAGATAGAAAAAAAGACAAATTGAAAACGCTCAAGATATTATTTTAAATGACGTTATACAGATAAGGGAAATTTTAGCAAGAAACAATAATAAAATATCTATTAGAAAAATTGCCCAATCCATACATATGTCAAAGAGTAAGGTGCATAAAATTTTAAAAGTAATCAAGTTTAAAGCATATAAGGTTCATACTTTTCATAAAATTGAAAATCATGCATTTGAAAAGAGAGTTTTTATGTGTGAGACGTTATTAGATTTATTTAGACATCAACCAAATGTAAATCTATTAATGTCAGATGAAGCAACGTTTCATTTAAGTGGACGCGTAAACAAACACAATTGTAGGATTTGGGGTGACGAAAATCCTAGAGCTTTCAACGAGTTTGAAAGAGATGCTCCCAAGTTAAATGTATGGTGTGGTGTGTCCAAAACAAAAATTTATGGACCATTTTTCTTTCAACAGGAAACAGTATATGGAAACAATTACACGGATATGCTAGAACTATTCTTTTATCATCAACTAGAACAAGAAGAAATACTAAATACTGTATATTTCCAGCAAAATAGTGCTCCACCGCATTACTCTCTTGTAGCCAGGAATTCTTTGAACTCAACCTTTGGAGATAAATGGATAGGTCGGGCTGGTCCCATCGAATGGGCTCCATATTCTCCGGATTTAACTATACCAGATTTTTTTATATGGGGGTATGTTAAGGAAAGATGCTACGATCCAACACCTACAAACTTAACTGAACTGAGGAATAATATATATTTGTGTTTAATACAATTACCTCAGAAATGCTGCAAGATGCATTTACAAATTTTTTAATGCGTCTGCATACATGTATTGAACAAAATGGAGGCCATATTCAACAATTAATTTATTAATGTTTTAGTACATATTTTTTGTATTCAATAAAAATTCAGATAGGTACCAACATGGTGGGACACCACTTACGCCACAACAATCCGTGTGGTATGAGGTGCTCCCCTCTGTCTTTATAAGTAAAATATAATTACTTTATATTATTCTGAAATTTATACCTAAGGGACAAGGCAATGAAAAACAGTATCTTATCAATGATCGTTCGATGTAAAACGTCAATTTATATTTCGATATGTGCCACCAAAATGTAATAGACACCGTTAACATTGATTTAATTACCTAAAATTAAAACCTATTAAAGCAATAGAAAAATTATAAAAAATTTACTTTTTTTTAAAAGGCGAAGAAATAAACTATCTAATGACTATGAGAGATACGAAATGTTTCATTCGCCATAAGACCTTAATCTGAATTTAATTTTTTTTTACGAAAACTTTACAAGTTTAAAATTTGGCAACTATGTCAGAAAAAAATTTAAACATTTCCAAGAATTTTGGTGAAAACCTTTTATCAATACATTGCCTTACTCCTAAATTATAA